TAGATGGCAGCACGTATGGTACCCTTGGACAGGCCATAATCTTTATACTAGTCGGCCATGGTAAAGCATAAAAATCATTAGACCTCTGAACATATATGTATATAATACACAAAATAAAAATGTGGTGCTATATTATTTTGTGATTTTTGTTTAGAATTTTGTAGTGTAACATTTACAGCAATACTTATTTTGTGTTAATTAAGATAGAGAAAATGTGAAAATTAAATATTTAGCAAAATCGTAGATACATATTTGTTTTCTGCTAATGTATTAAGATTAATTTTTATCCCTGAATACCTGTCTGCTGTCAGTGACAAGTCATCAGTCATACATACTTGAACATTTGTTATGTTATAATAAGAACTTATTTGAAAGTCTGGCTTCTCCAATTTTCTTCTGTTAAAGATTCCGTTTTTAATTTCAAAATGTCTGTAAACTTCTACGTGGAAGCTGGTTACAGGGGTAAGTGCACATGAATAAGCAGAAACTGAATCAAATTATTTTTTACACTTTAATTCATCTACCTGTTTTAAACTTTTACAGTTTCATATCATAAATAAGTACAAGTAACAACGTGTTGCTCAAAAAAGTCTACTTTTGATATCATTTAGCAAAAGTTGTGTCAATAAATGGTAATTGTTGATGTGATTCTTGTACCGATAAAATGTTTTACGATCTATGTGTCAGTGTGTCAATAATCGCAAACAAGGCAAACCAAAGAGCTTAATTTAAGTGTTAAAGTCACAACTGAAAGTAAGTATACGCTGAGGATTGCGCTGCTGGATGAAGAATAGTAACCATCCCTTTTCCAATCTATCGGTAGTGGAAGGGTATAGTTTCCGAACGTTACTGATTTTTTTATGTTTTACTTCAACTCGAATTTTTGCTTGTACTGGCACATGCATAAAATTGGCTTACCAGTGTTATTAGAGTTTTGATAATTGACGAATTGTTATCTAAAGTTTTGTAAATTTTAGTTATAATTAGAACAAATTTTTATATAAAAAGTGAAACATTTATATTTACTTCCAAATCATAAAAAACCAAAAACAATTTTAATTCATTTTTGTTTGTCACAAGTAAATGCAACATTTAATTTTCATGGAGGGATCGGATAAATGAATGAAACATTGGGTTATGGTCATAACTCAATATTTTCCAGCCAATCATAGCTCGGAGCATTTCATAACTACACGGATATGAGTTAGAACTAGCGTAATTTATCTAAACGATGTTAAAAGCGAATAATTAAATGGTTGCAGGTAAATAATTTAATAAATGGTGGTAGATAAAGCAAAGTATTACACTCGCGTGTTACGGCTTTTATTCACTCGGATGATTGAAACCACTCGCTCGTAAGCTCGCTCGTGAATCAACATTATCCCTGTGAAAAAAGCCATCATAATATGTTCGTATTGTAATCTAGTTTTATATCTACGTTTAAAGATTTCAAATTAATTATTATGTCAATGATGTAGAGAATACGAGATAGGAACGCATTGATGTGCAACAAGCACACTTAACAACCAGAAAACTTAAAAAAAAGAAAACTTTAATATACAGGTCCTCAAAAAAAACTTTCTAACATCAAATATGGTATCTACATTTTGGATATTATGTGCGACATTGAATTGTGTATTTCCTCATGAAATTAACAATAATCACAATCACTTTAAAATTTTTTATAACCTAAAATTTTTATATTGAAAATAGTGGTTGCGTTTATAAAATATATTGAAAATAAAAAAAAATACCTAAAATTATTTATAATGCAAAACAATCTAACATGCACCAAAGAGTAGGTAAATTATTATGGATTCATTTCTACATCAAAATCTAAGAACTGATAATAGGTATAATTTTGTGTTTCCGTCCGGTTTCCAAGGTTGTCTACTAGCTCACAAACCTAGGTTGTGGGAATTGGCAGCCCTGACTCTGAATACTTGAATAATATTGCTATGTAAAAATTATTATTACTCGAAGCTGTGAATTTAAACTCTTTCATTTTAACTCACGTAATTATATACAACTAACTATGTGTGAGTATTTCTTTTTAACCAAACTTATTATCAGTAATACAAATAATTCGAAGTATGTCGTACTTTTGTCAAAAGACTTAGAAATGCAAATCCCCTAAAAATTAGAATTTTATTAATAATTTTACATTATTTACGTCGGTATAACGAATAGTTTGTATCACACGGCACAAATAACTATTTCGTGTTACGTAGATTAAGAATGAAGCAAACATTTTTAGGAATACTTCAAAATCAGTGAGATATAATCGAGATATTTTGTCTGAAAAACTATTTTTTGGGTACACAGAGTAATAAAATGTAGGCACATTCAACTTAAATAGCAATGGAAGATCGAACTCGAGAAAAGATACATTTTTCGTATTTACGATTCTTTTATCTTGGTTGCTTGTTTTAATTTTATTGTTGACTATCTGCCTGTGATAATCCGAACAATTTGGGAAACTGTGTTTTCAAAGTAGAACATCATGTTTTTATGTAATAAATTACCAATATGGACAGTTTGTCTGCTTTCTTTACTATCAGAATGTCCTTTTCAAACGGGAGTGAGAATTAGCAAAAACTAAAACCAAGGGATGAAGGAGAAAGATCTGAAGGCACAAAAAGCACTTTCAAGTCGCCAGAAGCACTTCATTTCAACTTTCTGCGAAAAGAGAGCTTTCTCCCTAAAAACCAGTAGTTAAAAAATCGGGTATTAGTTCGAATAACAATTGGTTAACGGAATTTTGACGATGAAGCTAAATTCTACGTATTGCTATGTGAATCTATAGCATAGAAATTGTGTCCTAGAATCAGAATCTTCATTTAATGTAAGTTCAGCACCACAAAAAAAGACACAAATTTTACCGGTAGAATTGTTTTCCACAAAACAACGAACTGAAAAACCACGAAAAAATACAAACAAAACAGAAAACTAACAGATGAGAAACAATAAAATAAGGAATAACAAGAACGCTAGGACAAAAAGTAAAAGAAGCAAGAACGTAATTTTTCTGACGTCCTTCAGTCTCTGATTCTTTGAATGCAGAATATTATTTTGCCAAGAAGACTTTTGTTGAAAATTGTAGAACAAAAGTCTAATGCATGGGTTCAGGGTGCATAGCGAACCTGCTAATGCAGAGTTTGACGCACATTGTGATTACTGCAAATAGTTGCTTTTTGGAAATTTTATTTAGGAATCACAGGGATTAAATTAATTAGAACAACTGTGACAGCCCTCACTTCATATTAAGTTCAATTTAAGGTTGTTTAAGTATTAAGTATGTAAGGCTATTCACGAGAAGCTTCTCTTTTAAAAAATCAAAACGCAACCAACAATACAATTGCATGTCTTTGATATTTATTATCATAATTTTTGTAGGTAACACACAACTAGTCCTTTGGTATTGAGCCATAAATGTTAATTTTAAATTAAAAGCAAAAACAAACAAATTCAAAACAAGAGCTCGTCAGAGTGTCTTTTATACAGATAATTTTCTCTATACAAACGCGGAATGGTGTTGAAATCGAAGTTTCTCGTGAACAATCCTGTATTCCTAAAAATATTCTCAGTTTGAGTTTTTTTTATTAGTGTGATTGACTTTGTAAGAGTGACATTTGCAAAGCAAAATAGTAATTCATCTTTGGCTACTTATCTATTATTTAACTGCAATCCCGCGTAAAAAATAACCCAAATTGTATTTTGTTGTCATTTTCACAAGTTCAAGTTACGACCTACTTTTCGGCCGAATTTGTTTTGTCAACAAATTCTTAAGTGAATAGATCAGAATTTAAAAAAATAACGCGGTACATTCCAATCTCATACCTCTAACGAAAAGTGAAAGTTGTTCGATGTATGTGTAAAAATCCACTGATGAGCACAATGAAACAGTACACTCTAACAGAGTTAAACAACCCAAAAATAACACCTCATTCCTTCACTTAGAAGCTGGAACATCATCACGAACACGTTTAGGCAACTGGAATTTTTTTTGGGAATCTCAATGTTTAACTATCATTTTAACATGAGGCCTACTTTTCTACCTACATTTTGCGAACAAAAATTATTATTAATAATGGTGGAAGTGTCGTCAATTTAAACATTGTAACTTATCAGGTGCCCTACTTTTTTTAAAATAAGTTGGAATACGTTAAAACCGAAGTATGTAATAGCAATAGTTGTTTACTTCTCAAACCCGTTAGCAATACCGTAGGCAAAATATAAATTTCCTAATGCTGTTTGTACGAAAATTTCTACTTAGATGATATGTAAGGACCAATAGCAACTAATACAAATTCCAGGATGTTAATACTTTAGAACTAGCTGTGTTATTTACTGACTTATGTTTTAAAATATGTATTAACTACGCATGCCAAGTATAATTTTATATATATAATTTAAATAGCAATATAAAAAAAGCGAAAAAAAAAAAATCTGTTTCATTTTGGGTCACTACCAACAAACTGTAACTGTAGGTACGCATTTCAATTCATAGCTATGTTGGAACGTCGGAATTAATAAGCTTAAGGCAGGTGATACAGGTGCTGTATTTTGACAGGCTTTAGTAACGATGTAAACGTAAATACTTATTAGCACAACATCTTCTACAACGTGTAAGTTACAACGTAAAGGATGTTAGATAACATTTTTTTTTTCGGGAAACCTGTCTTAAAGATTCTACTCTAAATTTTAACGTTCTCTACACTTCAAAGTTACGAGACCATGCAAAAACTACCTATGCAAGTCGTTGGGAGAAAAATCAATAGAGTTCTGTACCGGATAAAGGATTCATCAACAGGTCCTCTGTAAAACGAATTAAACTGGTTGGATATAGATCGCTAGAAGAAATGTCATAGGTTAAGTTAATGAAGCAAGTGCAAAAACGTTAGAAAGTTCGAGGTAGGCATGCTCCACTATCGTGCAGCTAGACTAGATTGTAGACAGCAGCGGCAGACAGTGACAATGGCAGTCTATTGGCCACTTACAGGGATAGAGGCAGGTTTGTTGACCACCACAATGTCCTCATCCATGTGTACAATGGTGATGGGTTGGCTAGTGACGGGCACTTCATGTCTGCAACATTACAGGCTCAGTACGTCTCATAGTACGGCGCTCTGTTCTTGTACAAAAAAAGGTTAAAAAAAAGTAAAAAAAAAGGCAAATCAATTGGAATCTAAATTCATCCTTTATCTTGACACAACAGTTCGGCGTGGCAAATTAGTAGTGGGTTAAATCTCTAAGAACGTTATCCCCTAATAATTAAATCAGTTATTTTAAAGGCATGCACGTCATTAGTCTGTAGCGCATTATTCTGTTAGCCAGTGAAGGAAATTTATTTAAAGCGTCCTGGAGGTAAATAAAGAACAATATTTGCAAACATATGAAACTGCCATGATCCAAAGCGTATGCTAAACTGTACACATTAGGGAAAATTAACTTTAATAAACTGCAGGTATTAAACGCGGCATCAACAGTTGGGATAAAGTTAATTGCTGATTGCGCGTAACAATCGAAATCACATAATATCGGCAGGAACTAACGAGCCATAGTGATGGAATAATTACCTAAATTCTGAATCGGCCAATTAAAAAAACAAGAGTTCTTTGTAAAAAATAACTGATTTATACTAGTGGGTTTTCACGAATGCTGTATACAAATGTATTAACAGAAAAGAAGAACAAAGCGTTTAGGTTGAATGACAGTACAAGGACATACACACCTATGAACTACGTTGGCTAGAAGATCGTTATGTTTTAGTTTATAGTCAGTTGGAACTTTATCATAATTAACAGTAAGGGTTCCTGCTTGAATACATCTTTCGTATTCTTCGGCTGGATGTGCTCGGAATTCTCTGGCAAACACGTCCAAAATCCTTTCGCCTACCCATCGTCCTTTAGTAAAAGTTGTGAAGGTGAAATAATATGGATAGACCTTCCGCAGCCCTTAAAAAAAACTTCGGTTAGTATTTCGAAAAAAAAAAAAACAAAAAACAAAAACCGTATATGGCAAAAATGGAAAAGTAGCTTTCGACGCGACGTTACAAAAAAGGAGTATATGTATTCTGAAACAAACTTTTCCGTTTTAATAACATATTCACTAAGCACGTGTTCCGTATGGAACTCCATCCCCCACAAATAAAATGTGACGGTCGATAAAGCAACAAAGCTAATAATACTGTCTCTGCAATTAATACCTTTAATTACCGCTATTAATTACGTCAACAAAGGTAAATCTTGGAGTAGAGTGGACAAATTAGTTAAACGGAGGATAGTTGGAATACCTCTAGAGGCATTTCCGTCCATGAAATCGTGAGATATAAATTCATCTCTTTATCTAACAACCTGGCAATAATATTGTTTTTCAATCGAACAGAGAATCGTACGTGACGAAAATTCGCAGCCTAGATTTGAAGCAATTTGGATTTTCGGCCGTTCTCTACGCTTCATATAAGTTCGCCACGATAAAGACAAAAGTTTCCAGTTTCAACGTAGCTTTTTTGTTGGTTCGATATGAGTTCGCGAACTTTGTTGCACAGTAAAATGTGAGCTTTCGATGTGGTTGCATTGAATATTTACGGTGTAAGAAATTGTTCATTCGGCTCACGGATTTCGTTTGTGAAAATTTCTCTAACACGAACTGGAATTACAGTATCCAGTTTAGTTCGACAGAAACTTACTTTAGACAACCAGAAGTTGGTTGTTGTTCACAAGCAACTGCAATTCTTTTTTTTTATTAAAGAAAACAACCATACCTTTAGACACAAAACATCTAAGCAAGTAATTTGAATATACGGCGTTACGACTGAGTCACGGTGATTCTCGCTTACTACATACATGAATTTTAGCGAAATGAACACAGCGTCATGTACAACACCAATGTGGTGGTGTAAATTCCATTATATTAGTTTAGGTTCAATCTAGTGAAACTTTGGAAGTGTCTTCAGCCTCAAGAATCTATTTAGTTATCCGCAAATACGTAAAATACAAGAGTATGCCTGCATTTTCGAGACAAACTAGGATTTGGTATGCAAAGCTTCGCCAAATTGAAAACGCTGCACTGCGAAAGACATTTTACGAACTGACGAATAAACTAAATCCTAGAAAAGCATATTTCGCTTTTCGGAGTTAACAAACTTACTCCCGCCGTAGTTTATTAATATAATAAAACACCACAACATACAAAGTGTTATGTGAAGCTGAATATTCGACTAATTCAAAACTTCGATTTCACCGTGTCAACTATTCGTCTTCAGACGTGGCGTCAACGTATCAGTTGATCAGGAGTAGGTTGGTCATAGGGAGCACACACTGTTTGTGCTATTTACGTCAATATCTAGCACAATTTTAAATAGTTTTCGTTTTCTAGTTTACGAATAATTATTTATTGACGAAGTACAGACCTTGTAAATACTTTAATAGAAGTATTAATTTCAAATGGATTCTCGCTGAAAAAAAGATGAGCATGACACAGAGTTTTAACAATTTCTGTTATCTTAGATTCTAGTCAAAGATAAAAGACTGCAGAAAAAGACTATAAACCACAAAGAACTAAACATTTCTACAACAGCAATCAACAGTAAGAAAAAATTGACATTTTCTATCATTACTCGTCAAGAAAAGTTTGATTTATTTCATTTAATAATTCAGTGTCTTATTTTTGTCAGTATTATATGATTTCCTATAGTATAAAAAATGAGTACGCAAAAATTTGGAAAAAAGTTTTACATTATGAAGCATTACAATTCGTATTTACTACATCTTAATTGTTTAGTTTGGATTGAAGTAGCTTAATTAATATAACGTTTTTAATATAAATATTTTGACAATAGCTAGCGATTTAATTTTTCAACTATTTTTCAGTATTACCTTGTTTCTGGTTGTATCTCTACTGTAATACAACATTTTGTTTAGATTTTTTTTATATTTATATTTACTTTTGTTCAGGAGGTTAAGATGGGTAGTTTCGGTTAGACTTCGCCTTTATTATTATTATGATTATTACGTATTTAGATATAAAAAAAATGAAGAAAAAAATAGTGATTGAGTTTGGTTTAAGTATCTCAACATGTCGACAGGTTTTCCATAGTGAGTTACATTTGTACGATATAACGAAAATTTTGTTATGAGCATACATATTCTTAACTGCAGATTTGGATTAAAATTATATTAACCCTAAATAATTATTTCCATATTATACAGAAAAAAAAAATATACGACATGGCAACATTAACAGCGTGAAATAAAATTTAAATTTCATGTCAAACTACGCTACAACTTTTCAATTTTCATTTCTGTTATTTTGAACCGATTATTCCACATTTTTTGGTGAAAATATGCGTCAGGTTACAATTAATGTAAAAATAACTAAAAAACATGACTTCTGTTACAAACTGTGGCTCAGATGATTATAATGTCAGAGGTATATGGAATTGAATGCAAAAAAATTTAACTGATAATAGGAACTCATCGATATATGAAACTTTACTATATAACACTTTTTCGAAAATCCATTTTTATTGCCCTTCGATCGTGGCAATTACCGCACAGATCGCGTACTGGAGCTGGAACTCGAAATTTTAGATGTTGTTGCCAGTATCAGCATTCGTCGATTGACATTTTGTGTGGATATTTCGACTTTTATTGTATGGCGGACCATTCGCGAACAAGAATTGCGCTCATGCCATCTTCAACGTGTGTAAGCACTAGAAGCTTATTTTACCCAGTGATTAAATGTGCATTTTGAAAGTAAGTGGATGGGTAGAATTGGACTAGTGCTGTGGCCTCCTCGTTCCCCGGACTTAACTTCCTATGATTTTTTGTTGTGGGGATAAATGAAGGAGTTAGTGTACGCAATACCCGTGAATTCAGTAGAAGAACTAACTGCACGTGTGAATGGTGTGGCTGAAACAATTCGTTAAAATCCGGCTATGAGTGAGAGGGTACACACTTCAATGGCCGGGCCAATTCAAGCATGCATTAACAGAGAAGGGCGGCATTTTGAGCAATTTTTATAAGTGAATGAAATGCGATACTGCCGTCGTTTACATATTTGTTGATTTATTGTTACTGTTAAGGTGAAACCATTTGTCGGGTGTCAAGTTTGTAAAAACTTTCTGTAATTCCATCCGATATTTTATGTTTTTATTGTGCCAACGTATGGCACTACAGTGATCAACATCTATTTATTTTGTTGTTAATAAATGAGCACTTTGGGGAATAAATTGGGTATTCTTGTATTTATTATTGCCCTTTTCATGAACACATGTGAGCGACGACCTTACTACCTGATATAAACGTGCGTTTTCGTAAAGCGCGGATGGTTTTTGTGGCATCGCAGATAGTAGGTATTAATTACACATAGGCGGGTAGCGATTTTCATGGTCCATGTATTTTCAATTTTAGTTACTAAACGTTCTGAACAAAATGTTATTTAGAAAAGTTTACGCTAATATGAGTTCTATTACCGGTTAAATTTTTTTCATCAGTTCCAAAACACCCTGTATATTATCAAATTTCTTTCATCATTGTATGGTAGCTGCCATTAAATGTACAATAAATTAAATTTATTATAAAAAAATAGTTGCATTCGTGTGACTTAACAAAATGCTTGCTTCTAGATCACATAGTCCAAATGAAAGATCTACGTATTACAATAATATCATGAAATATACATCAAAACTAGAAAACGAAGCGGAAGATTTTAAATAATTTGTGGGCCTGGATTTCTGTGATTAGCCCTGATGTAATTGTACACGTACCAGATCTTTTAAACAGTGACGTTTATGTTAGAATTCTGGATAACATCATGATTCCGTCTGCAAGAGGAGTGTACAATAATGACAATTTTATTTTCCAAGGCGATAATTGTTTCGTACATATGTAAACTTATACAAAAACAAGAGGATATTTAGAACGCTTAAATTTTGTAGAAATAAGTGCGGCATAGTAAAAAAAAATGATAAAATTTGTAACAAAAACTGACAATATTTATTTACAAAAAAATAATGTGTTGTATCGCCGCGTACTGTAATGCACTCAGCAACTTTCTTTAGGCATGCTGGAAACGAGATGATCGATTGCATTTTGAGGCAACGTATCCCAGGCTATCTGCAACTGTAGACGTAATTCATCTAATATACTGGGAGGATGACGTAAACGACGCGGTCTGTCATGTCCCAGACATGTTCGAATGGATTTAAATCAGGTGACCGTGGCGGCCAGGGCAATAGATTGACATTTATAATTTCGGTCAGGAAGTCTAAAGTAATGTTAGCGATATGAGGGCGGGCATTATCTTGTTTGAAAATTGCTTCTGGAAGGTAATAGCGGAAGGAGGATGGGTTGTACCACATCACCGACGTAACGACGGGCATTTAATGTGCCCGGAATAAAACTATCTGGTATTTGCATCCATACCATTACCCCGGGAGTTAAACCCGGATGGCAACGTTGAATAGATTGTAAATTTAACCTCTAGATCGGGTAATCCTTACACCTCCGCCAGAATGCCACAAACAAATTTATATACATACATATATACCTATATACGATATACATTTTTTTATAAGTGCCAGACCACCTTCAAAATTTAATCAATTGTGTGACTTTATGCCTTACTTATTTTCACAAAATTACAGCGCTCTAACTTTGCTCCTTTAGGGTGGTATGCTTTTTTGCGAAAAGCAGTGTAATCCCCTCTTATTAATCATTTTATTTAAAATCTGTTTCCTGATATTTACCTAAATACAAATAAAAAATGTGCATTTATACAACTCAAAAAAAAGGTTCTAATACTTACAGCCTACTATTTTATTATGACAATATTTGCTGACAATTAAGCATTTTATGTACTGGGGGCAGTCGACTTGCATTAAAAATCGGATTTTTTTTTACTTTTACTTTATCAGTATGTATAAAAGATTATGTAAACTAAGCGTGTACTAAAAAGGATGTGGAAATTCGCAGTAGAAAAACCATTAACACAACTTACAAGTTTACATCATGTAAATCCCTATGATGCGTTCTTAAAAAAATGCACACACATTTCCGCGTTTAGAAAATTAACAACAAAAATTAATTACACAAAACATGTTTCTGCTATCTTTTGCAAAAATAAGGAAACTTCATAACACTGATCATACTCTTCAATTTTCGGATGACCATCTAACTAGTGCAGTTTTTCAAACATTTTTTAATCAGTTTTTAGTACAATTTGACACATAATCTTGATGTGGGATAGATGGAATCCTTCCTAAACCGTATCATAATATCAGATAAAGGAAACTATAAGTCGTTGTTAGGTGTTCCAGCTCCAGCCAAAAAAAAAAAAGAAAAAATCCATCACTGTAATCCGTCGGTGTCTACTATTTTGGCGTCTGGACACACTCGAAAACGAGAAGCAAAAGAGAAGACGTAGTAGTTGTGAATACCACGTCAAAATTTACGGTTTGTTCAGCTTTCCTCTTTAAATCCACAATTTTCAACTATATATTAACTATACTATGATTTGCGTCTTTTTGGTGTCTATGTATTAAATAAGTACTTAGAGCTAATTTTCATCAATAGGCTCGATCACGAGAAAGCTAGTTCAACGGTAGGTAAAATGAAAAACTGTATTACTATTAATCGAAGGCTCGGCAATTATACTTATGTCGAGAAAACCATAATTGTAGTAATCTCGCAATGATTCGTTTCTCACCGAACATTAAATTAGTATTGACGTCGATTTAAAGTTTTAACAAACCGAAGAATCCATCTTATCTAATGCTTAGTGCTTCTGTATCTAATCTTTTTAGAGATTTTTTTTTATTTGTATGAAAGAGTTGTTTCCTAACGTAAAGTAAGTTCTGTCTTTTAATGAATTACGATCACTATCCAACTTTTAAATGTTATAGTTTTTCGACCTCCCAAGTTTTATTTCACTTTTTGTTTGGAGTTATATCATCACAAGTCCTGTATTTTGGAGTATGAGTCAAATTAATGTTCCGGTAAAGGACTGTGGAGGGAAAGTGTTCATTCGTGTGGGTCGGCTGAAATTTTCTCATACAGTTTTGACAAGGGTTTAACTGATTCTAGTGTTCTAGTTACAAAAACTACAACGCTGATATTTACAAGTTATACAAGTTGGACTTATTGATTAATAATACAAATTTACGTAGTAATTAAATTTCAGTGTGGAACTGTGGCATTTGTTCAAACTTGTCTCGCCATGTGATTTTTTGTATTTTTTTATCATTACTTGTCAGCTAGGTTTTCTTAGTTAAAGCAAGTGGTAGAAATATAGGTAAAAAAATGTTCTATTACAGAAATAAATGTAAAATTAAGTTGTGTAATAATTTTACCCTGTCCATATTAACACTGACGTCATTATTACTTAAATCACCAATAAAACTAGTAGAACCAGTATGATATAGAAATCCATGAATTAACTTAAACTCAATTGCATAATCAATTTCAAAGCAAAATTTGATCGATTTCAAATGCACGTAACAAATAAATTTACCCAACTGTTATTGACATTTTTTGTTTATAAGTGACTAAAGTTATATATGTAGTTTTTGTTTTTGTATAACTAAATACATACAGAAAGCTGAAAAAGATTCAAATTTAACCTCATCATTTTGTTTTGTTAGAGCATTACACAACAGAAATAATTGTACCATATTTCCGATATATCAAACTTTTCTTGCACCATCGTACCTATTTAATAGAGCAATTTAAAAATCCAATAGAAATGGTTACAGTTTGTCGATTAATAATCGTGTAGCTCATAAAAATTATTACATCGTAACAGATCAAAAATCTTCAACGTTTGCAAATCAATTTAAAACTTGTTGCCACTCACGAGAAGTCGTTTGCAAATCAATTTAAAATTAGCATTTCCAACTTCGCTTGAATTGAGCGAGTCCGTCTCGTCCAGGTATTGGATTTTCCGCTTAAAGCGATGAAAAGAAGTCGAAAACGCACCATGATCAACGCAAATCACGCATTTCAAATCGACATCTATCATCATACGTACCATTTTCGATGTAGTAAGATGTTTCGTTGTAGCGATCATCCGTGAAGCCTGGTCGTTTGGCTTTCAGAGCTTTGGTTTCCAGTTTCGCCTGAAAAGAAAAATACAATGTTACCGCTTGGAGAGACTAAAAGCACACATTGTCGACGGTGATGTTGAGTAATAAAAGTATTCCATCAAGCGTCTTAGCAGATACACGATAAGAAAGCAAAGCCGGTGGAAACAACGGTTACTTTCGCCTAAAGGTAAGAGTTTAGCCTTCGCTTATACTTCTAATCCTTCGGTAAACAATAGAGCTCGACACGTTCCACGTACGGCTATGTCAATAGATTTGAGGAATACTTTAAAAGGGTTGTGTCCCTGTGGCAAGTTCAAGATTTCCATAGGGATCGCTTTGTTTGGGTTTAGAGGTAAATTATTAATTCGATACCCTTTGATAAATTGGGTATCAAACTGTACAAGGAATTTATAGACAAATCATGTTAAATCTCGGACCATCACTGCATAAGTTTATTGAGATACTGATTAGGAACACGTTAAAATTCATCACCACCCGAACGCTAACCTCTAAACATATTACAGTCAACATAGCGCTCAGCATAAAGTTAAAATGTTCAAATTATTTTAAATGTACCTTAAGGGAAATAATTAATTGATTGAACACATACTTAGTTGGAACATTTAACTAATAAAACATTATATGAATTTGTGAGTACATGACTACGAACAAACTTACGAAGAAAATTTTGTACTTGTTAAGTACAAGTCACGTTCGATCGAATATCAGCGGCCAGGTCAGATCCACGTTTTAGTAAAATGTTAAATAAATTAGCAAACCGTAAGTAATTTTTTATTTTTAATACACGACGGATGATTCAATATTCTTTCAAATTAAATAAATTAGAGCACGCAAATAACTAATATTTATATTAGTTAAAATCATAATATAATACCGCAGTGTGCTATATCATCAGTTCGACCCAATGCTGAAATTGTTGGTTATTTTAGGGTGTTTTCTTTTGACGGTGAATGCATATTTCGCTTCTACAAAAAATTCGATAGAAATATTAGTTCTCACTTTGTAACTTCTATTATTATTATCATTGTAAAGTGTGTAAAGTTAGCTAACAGGCTGAATAGCAATTATAAGCCAATTAAGAAGCCGATATTCAGATGCAACAGAGTAGCAGTTGATACAAAAATACTCGTTCAAGTAGTAGGTCATTTGGAAAGTAAGATTTTTGTAAATCTTTTTTGTACTTTTTCAAGCGAAGATATGTGTACATCCTAGATGGGCGACCATACAACGTTCGTATACTCGAAACGAGATCTAACCAGTGTTTTAAATAATACGTATGCTAAAAGTTTCAAAGTTATGCATTACGTATCACAAAACGTAAGCTTTTGTAGGCAGCTGACACAATATACTCAATGTAATTCTTAAAGAAGACTTTGCTGTCCAAGTCTTTGTACGAGTCTGTTCGTTTAATATGAGTACATTCAAAAGTACATCAAACATAATATGTGAAGAGTTCCTTGAGAATGATACAATAAATTTGTCCTTATTTAAGAAAAAATTATTTTTTCATCTTCACTCTGTCATTACGGGTTACACTAACAACCTCCTGTAATTTATGACAGTCCTTCAAAATGTAAATTTTTAGGTATATGCATATAGCAGATATGGAGCATGTAGCATTGACGTTAAATCATTGATATAGGTAATAAATAATTATAGTTTAAAAACAACTAAAAAATACTTTTGTCACTACCATTGCACTCAAATTTTGTGAAATGGCGAAATTTAGAATGGACTCTCACTGTCCGATAGTACCAAATTATTGTATTGTCATCCAAATTACACACCCTTGCAAACTTTCAAATCGATTTGGTAATTAGAAGTAGGTTAAAATCGACTTCCTAGATTTGTTTCCATAGTTTGGTATTAGTGAAGCGAGTAAAAAAACAAAGAATCCAGCACTTTTGGTACTTCTGACTGTTGCAGAAACGATGATGAGGGATGACTCATATCCTGAACAAAGACAGATCTTTCGGGGGAAAATATGATGATTGGAGTGCAACCCAATTCTTGGATAATCCTAAGAAGTTCAATTTTTTTACTAGTACGGTATGATTTACTCGGTCAAATATTTTATAGAAACGTTCACAAAACGTCAGCTAGTTTTTTTACGAGTGATTCGCGCAGATATTGGCACTAGTAGTTAATTTTGTTGATCTTCCGAACATAAATCCGTGTTGATGCAAGCTGATATCATGAGCAATATGATTGTAATCGTGTAAAATATATTCAGATATGTACATTGAAAAAAAAAATTAATTATAGCAATCGGCATGTAATTTTTAATACTTATTTGATTTATCTCTCTACTTTTAAAAATCAGAGATATACGTGAAATTTTCCACTAAGAAGGAACACATGATTCCAGTATTTTGTTACATACTATTTTAAGTGGATGAAAAAAGAGTGTTTTGCAAAATGCGGAATTAAATCTGAATTTGCAGTTAAGCCTATTTTTAGTTTCGAGATAGCTCGTAAGACCTCTTCTTCACAGCATTAACAGAGTATAATTTGGATTAACATTGTACTGGCGAAGGATTGAACGATTCTTTGTGTGTCTGAGACTAAAACATCGTCTATACACATGAGAGGAGTAGAAGTTGTTTTATTTAATAAATTTTAGGTAACTCCAAAACCCTTTACAATTAGATTTAATGTAATATTCAGTTTGTTCATGTAGTTGCTGTAGACAGGGAAACTTAAGACTTTACCTTAGATCTCAATTTCCTAACCTTATTCTAGTCCACCTGCCTATTTATTTTTTTTAATTTCAACTAAAGTATATACTTCTGTTTTAAAAGCAATATCCTATCTTTAGTAAACCAAAATGAATATGTGCTCAAAGATCTTAACTTTCTATGGACACGTTTATCAGAGATTTCTTTTAAGTCATCGTAAAAATTGGTTACAGTAACTTCAATATTAATGATTGCATTAAGAAAAGACCAGTTTAAAGAAGCAATATCTTGGTAAAATGAAACAAAACTAGCCTTTCTAAAATAATACTCAGATGAACGATTGTTCTACAAATGTTTTGAAACTTCTTAAAAAGTTTTCTTTGTTACCTGCACAAAACGTGTACTAAAATTTTAAGGATGCGAGATTGGTTTTTGTTATTGAAGGCTTTAAAGTCAGATAGCGAAAAAGTTATAGATTATAATCTAAAAAAATTACCATTAACTGAAATGTCGCATTTGTACGTTGTTTCAAACACTGCTCGAGCTTAAAATCCCTAACTGGAAAGAAAGCGGTATTAGTGATTACCTCTATATTTCAAGAATAATGACAAAGAATTAAGTCTGGTGCAGACTGATTTCAAAGTAATCAAAAAAAAAATCTCGCTAACTGTTAACACACATACACCTTGTTTCAGGGATAAATAAAGTAAATAATGTGTAAAAAACAAAAACATCCTGTAATGCCGAGAAAAAAAGAAATGTTCAAGGTTCAGCTCCACATATTCAAACTCGCATTCTCGGGCGTCTGCAAAGTCCTACTACTATTCGGCTGTGGTAAGTTCTTTACATTTTTTAATTTCCATAAATATGCACTGTCAAAAATAATATATTTAATAATAAATTTATTTATATAAAAGTTGACACAAAAAATTTTGTGTAGCACTCGCCCAGCAGAACATGGTTTAGCAAATATTGCTTCTTTGCAGGTCTCGTCTATGTTCGGCAACAAATGCACTCGTATTTGTAAAAGTCTAATTTCTCGCCTTGTGATACAAAAAAAACGTGAGGTGTCGTGGGATACCCATATGGAACGAAGTTTTACATTTGTATATAATTTATGAAATAGTACAATAAAATAAATGAAGGAATGGTAATAAAACTGTAATAGTAATTAAAAAAAGCTACAGAGATAAATATTTCTTTATTACTTATCAGGAGTATAAAAATATTTACTATACTCGTACTTAATTTAATTACAACCTCAATCTGTAGATTCAATCATAGAAATGATTACTTTGTGATAACTGAAGTATGATACATTCGTCTGAGATTCAGTTTTGTTCAACTATCTCAAGAAGACTGCATCGATAGTTGTATTGCATCTTGTTGTAGATTCTTCTGGATTTGTCAACTGTTAAATTGAATTCATCCAAAGAAACTCATTCTTTCTTTTCACTATTCCCTTGTTTACTCTTCATTTATTGTCACTTAAACACTGGTACCTTTATCCTCAACTTCTAGTGAATAATTTTCGCAATCCATTATTTATTAATATTTATTAATAATTACTAAAGAAAAGAAAGTATTCAATGAGAATGAGTTATGGTGCACGCGGCTTGTAAACACATAAAAGATGTGGAGCGAAAGAGTATAAGTATTCGGGAGGAGTGCAACACACGATAGCACTGACTATAGCAATTATGTCGAGGTCAACTTACGGTTTTTTCGGGCTAGCCCTACTCTGCCAAGTAGCCCTGTGCGACGTGCGATCAGGAACTTCGTTTCAATAGCTACGTGCAACTAACAGAGAAAGACTTCTTAACAAGAAAGTACTTAAATTATAGTTAAAAAACTGCAACTAGATTCTGATGCGAAGGAGTTGATGTGGAACGATAAAGACATTATGATAAGCTGTAGGATATTAAACACAAGCTTTTTCAGGAAGTCGGTGGGTTTTTAACAATTACCACAAAACAGCGAAATCTGTCATTAGGTACAAAACAAATTTCTAATAGGTTTCATACGCTGCTAACTTAACGGGCTTAATCTAGTCTCTTAATGAAACCTAATCTTGTAACTTACATAACGACAATTTTCTTCCCTTGCTTATGAAATATATGCCTGTTTAAGGCTTCGGAAGTTCCGATGATGACGAATGGACTTGTGTCCCCTATAAATGGATAGTCAATGGCACAATTTATGTCTCAATAACGATATACCACCACGTCGAACGATATACCACTAGGACGTTTATACCTCGAAAATGTAACAGGTGAACCATCATTACTTTATATTTATGATACAGATGATTATGGTGAATGAGAAGGGTCCATT